GTATTTTTTCGCACTCGCAGATTTCTCTTTTTTACCGTTTAATATATATATATATATATATATATATATATATATATAATTATACAGACATATACAAAAGAACTATTTCTATGACTGTCTATATTGTTTTTGTTCAGATGATACAGAAATCGTACGAGATATAAAAGAAAAGATCTGCTACGTCGCCCTTGATTTTGAACAAGAAATTACAACTGCTGCATTTGGTTCAGCGTTGGAAAAAAGTTACGAACTTCCAGATGGACACGTTATCACAATCGGAAACGAACGATTTCGATGTCCCGAAGTTCTCTTCCAACCGTCATTCATCGGCATGGACCATTGTGGAATTCACGAGACAATATTCAACAGCATAATGAAATGTGACGTGGACATTCGCAACAATTTGTATCAAAATTGCGTGCTCTCGGGTGGGTCTACAATGTTTTCAGGTATTGCAAATCGTCTGCAGAAAGAAATGACGTCATTAGTACCTACGGGTGTGAATGTGAATACCATAGCTCCTCCAGAACGAAAGTATTCCCCATGGATGGGCGGCTCTATATTAGCCTCTTCATCCATATTTAAACAGACATATATACAAAAACAAGAATACGACGAATCAGGGCCTGGAGTCGTCCACAGAAAATGTTTTAAAACTTAATATATAGGCTTATGTATATTGAAAACATGACATGAATATTATGGTAAGTAGGCATTGCAATCATTGACGATGTTCCGTAGGAGATTTTAGATCGTGTTCAAAAAATTAAAAAAAAAGACAATTCAGAAAAATGTTGTGTCATGTGTGGATTCAATAGCGATCACAGCGCAATGTAGTACCTACCAACCACATAAGCTTTTGTTTTTTAATATAAGAACCAGTAACATTTTTACGCATGGTCAGTGTTCCTATTTGTTCGGCCAATTGCAGGCTCAAATTGTTTTGTTCTCATTTTACTCACTTCTTCGAAGATATAAATTAAATTATATTACTGTAGGCCTGTATTAATTATTCTAGATAGTATTACATACTCACTACCAACAGAATTTTACATTCACTCTTTTAGAACCTAAAGAGAGAATTCTTACATTTTACTTCAGCCTTTCTCAATTGTTCTTATTTTGTTCTTATTTTTCAAAGCAACTTCAGCTTCGGTGTTCTTATAAAATGTGTTGTTATAAACAAAAGTTAGCGCGCAACGTGAGATCAGCAAATCGAGCTCACGTTATTATATATCGGCCTATTATTTCACTTCTCTGTATATGATTGATTATTTGTTATTTTTGTTTAAATTTCAATGTTTTTTATTGTTTGGAGACCCGTTCTAGAGATATAAGCCTTCTTCAGTTCACTGTTGGAAATGCTGTCTCATTGCTTTATGTATTTTACTTTGAATGAGAAAAAAGAAATGTTGGGGGGGGGGGGGGGGGGGGAGGGGGGGGGGGGGGGGGGGGGGCAATTGTGGAGTTGGGGAAGCTCGATGATGATTGGGAGCTGGTCGCAAAATAATGTTGTATAAATGTTATATAACCAATTTTAAAACAACATTACCTAAATTCATAGGCCTTAATCTTATCATAAATATTTTGATGTTTAATAACTAATCTTTAATAGGTCCTATGCTTAATTTCGTTAATATTTTTTTTAAAAATCATTTTTTAGTGTGTAATATGTGACATTTAATTATATGTAAAGTACCTATAGAACAAGTTTGAATTTCAAAATTATGATAGGCCTATTTATAGTGTATTTTGTATTTAAATGTGTATATGTTATTAATGGGGCAGCCGATTCTCTTTGAATTATAGTAAAATTTTGCTTAAGCTGCCCCTGACCAAAATGTGTTGTATTACCTATTGTAAATGTGCATTGGTCGAATAAATAAATAAAAGAAAGAAAGAAGAAGTGAAATGAAATCAATTAAGATGGACACCTGTCTCTTATACACATCTAGATGTGTATAAGAGACAGATAAAAACCATGATGAAAATGCTTATATTTAGTTTCAAACACACGTGTGTGGCCTAT